AGATCTGTGCAGCGGAGCCATGCAACAGTGTGAGTACAGGTTTGCAGTGTGAGATGGACCCGGTGTCTCAGACTCAGGCCTGTGACGTGCTGTCCAACCTTGGCTTCAGTGTGGTGGGCTGGTACCACTCACATCCCACCTTCCACCCCAACCCTTCAGTACGGGACATCACCACACAGGACCAGTTCCAGGTAAAAATAATGGATGAGAGAATATGGAGTTTAACCCTGATTACACTTCTATGATGATGGGATCACAAGTGGAGAGCGATAAATATATGTGTAAACTACTACATAGACATATTGTGATCACTCAGACCTGTGCATCACAACTTGAATGTATCTCAGTCTAAGTTATGTTTGGTTCTCAAAGCTGGCATTATCCACTATCTAAATTATCAAAAGATTTTAAAAAGCACATAGAGACGTTTAGGAATACACAAAGGATTAAAGAGTGTCTGTATTCTTTTGTTTTGTTTGGATGTGCCTTCCCCTGAATAAAATAAACTGCAATTGGTCTTAGCCAAAATAAATGAAATACATGTCTTTTTGCATTTTGAGCTGTTAAGTGAGATCCAATCAGAAGTGGTCACTCGAGATGCGTTCTATACCAGGAATGAACTGACTACATGTGATCAAATCACCCAGGAGGCATGTTATTGCCAGGTGTTAATGTGATCTGATTCCCTTTGTCCTGATTGTTACAGAGTTATTTCTCGCGTGGCGGTGCCCCCTTCATCGGGATGATCGTGAGCCCATATGACCCAGCCAACCCCTCCCCCCACTCCCAAACGACATGCTTGTTGGTGAAAGAGAGCCAGGAGCCTTCAGGCCCACAGAGTACGTTCAACACACACACACACACACACACACACACACACACACACACACACACACACACACACACACACACACACACACACACACACACACACACACACACACACACACACACACACACACACACACACACACACACACAAGAAGACATGATTCAGAACTTCAAAACAGTTAAGATCAAGAGGCTTTGAAATCAAGCTGACAATGTAGGTCAGTATTTTCAGCACACAGTGGCGCAGTTTATCCTCTGGCTGAGTATATCTCTCTGTTCCTCCCTAGAGCTGCCCTACAGATTCGACTTCCTGTCATCACAAGACATTCCAAACTGGGAACAAACATGGAGGAGAGCTCAGTGGATCATCCATAAATACAGTCAAACACCATGGTGAGTGAGAAACAAAACAGTTGTGTTTATCCTGACACGCGTTTGTGTAATGCTGATCCTGTGTTTGTGTGATTTAGAACACACTCTTCAAAACTTCTTAAAGCTTAATATTGAAATAAATAAACTGTTTTTTTTTCACTCTGGGTAGGAGTGTGAAGATGGACAGATGTTTCCGGAAAGACTCCACTCTCACCTTTCTGGAGAAGGTTTGTCCAGGCTACCTGCTTTTCTCACATCTTAGTAGCTAATGGCTTTATTCTCTGATTGTAGCTTATGTCATTTTACTTGACCTCTTCCATCCATCACCTCCCCTCAGATGCTGTCGTCTCTGGCCAGGTACCTGGAGCCCCTGCCAGATGAGGAGGGAGACCCCTTCCTCACCCGGATCCAGGCCCTCTTCCAGTCTGACTTTATTTCCAAGCAGCAACCGCCTGACCAGGAAGAGGGGGAATCTTTAAATATCTCATCCAGACCAGTGGACTCTGATGACTTTGCTTTTGATCAGCTGATCAGTGAGGATAGACCTCCCGAGGGAGGAAGAGGCTCTGATCCAGAGTCTGGCAGAGCTTCAGACAGCAGTGTTCAGACCACAGACACATCCTCAGAGATGAATAGCAGCACAGTGTTACATCTGGGCTCTGTGCTGTCATCTGAACATGACTATTTACTGTGAGGGACAACATATCATAATCTGACTGTACTTGTACGTAATACAGTATTAAACAAAGTATAAACATGTATGTAAATATGATAAGGTTTTGTATCAGTATTATCATTTAGTTTTCTAACTATTTTATGTTTTTAGTGAAGTAATTTAGTCAAAACTAAATAGAGAGAGAAGTAGAAAGAGAGGAGATTGGGTTATTGAATGAAAATCATTTCACATTCTCAGTTCTGCAGGTTCCTTTTTAAACTGGAAAATAAAATCTATTTTCACATTTGGTTGTCTTGTCACTTGTTCCTGTATTATCTGAAAAACAAAAACTATTATATAGTCTTAAAAGCGGGAACGTATCAATGTTTCTCTTACAGTAGACTACTTTTACAGTTTGTAGAAAACATTACAACACCAGCCGAAAGGAAATCTTTTAAAAATAAATGGGTGGGCTGAATATAGGCAAGGCAAGTTTATAGCACCTTTCAGCACACGGCAATTCAAAGTGCTTTACAAATTAAAATAAAAGACATTTAAGAATAAATACAGCAGAAACACATTATACAATGGCATTTAAAAACAGGCATTACAAAGCAAAGATAATAAAAATAAACACAACACGTATAGAATAGATGAATAAAAGCCATACTGCAGTGTGAATATAAACAGCTCACTCAAATACAGCGGCAAAAATATAGGTTTTAAGTCTGGATTTAAAAGTATTAAGAGTCGCAGTGGACCTGCAGAATTCAGGGAGGTTGTTCCAGATAGTCGTGGCATAATAGCTAAACGCTGCTTCTCCATGTTTAGTTCTTACTCTTGGAACAGAGAGCAGACCCGTCCCAGAGGACCTGAGACTCCTGGATGGTTCATAGTTGTGCAGGAGATCGTTAATATAATTTGGTCCTAAACCATTCAGTGCTTTAAAAACCAGCAGCAGTACTTTAAAATCAATTATTTGACAGACTGGAAGCCAGTGTAAAGACTTCAGAATTGGACTGATGTGATCCACTTTCTTAGTGTCAGTGAGGACTCGAGCAGCAGCGTTCTGAATCAGCTGCAGCTTTCTAATAGATTTTTTAGTGAGACCTGTGAAGACACCATTACAGTAGTCGAGTCTACTGAAGATAAAAGCATGGACAAGCTTTTCCAAATCCTGCTGTGACATTAGTCTTTTAATCCTAGATATGTTCTTCAGGTGATAGTATGCAGACCTAATAACCGTTGTAATGTGACTGTTAAAATTCATGTCAGAGTCCATCACTACACCTAGATTTCTTGCTTTATTTGTTGTTTTGAATAACTTTTATTAGTTCCTCCTTTGCTCCAAAAACAATAATCTCAGTTTTATTTTTGTTAAATTGGAGAAAGTTCCTACTCATCCAGTCATTGATGTGCTCAATGCACAGTGTTGTAATTGGAGAATAGTCTCCTGGTGAAATTGTTATATACATTTGGGTGTCATCTGCAGCTATGATAACTTGGGTCGTTGTTTTTCATTATTTGAGCCAGTGGTAGCATATAGATATTAAAAAGCAGAGGTCCTAAAATGGAGCCTTGAGGAACCCTGCATGTCATATTTGTCAACGCTGATGTGTAGTTGCTAGAGACAACGTTTTTTCTGTCCTTTAAGTAGGATTCAAACCAATTTAGAACTGTTGCCGAAAGTCCCACCCAGTTTTCCAGTCGGTCTAGCAATATGTTGTGGTCAACAGTATCAAATGCAGCGCTGAAATCTAATAATACTAACACTGAGATTCAGCCACTGTCTCTGTTTAGGTGGATGTCATTGAAGACTTTAACAAGAGCAGTCTCAGTGCTGTGGTGTGGAGGAAAGCCTGACTGGAACACATCAGAACCGTTATTTTTGAGTCCTGAGTCCTGGATTTCAAGTCGTGGCTGAACCTGTCATTGTGGTCCTGCCTGACTTTCATCATACTACTTCCCTGATCCTGCTCCCACAGGATTGTTGACATCCTCGTGGATTCATCTTCTTATTATAGACACATGCATTTCCAAACATTCGGTCTATATGCTGTAAATGTATTCTCTTTTCAATTTACACACGGCATCTATTGCATGTCTGTCCGTCCTGGGAGAGGGATCCCTCCTCTGTTGCTCTCCCTGAGGTTTCTCCCATTTCCCCCTTTAAACTGTGGGGTTTTTCCTTTTTTTGAAGTTTTTCCTTGTACGATGCGATGTCTAAGGACAGAGGGTGTCGTATTGTCATACTGATATTCTGTACAAACTGTGAAGTCCACTGAGACAAATGTAACATTTGTGATATTGGGCTATATAAATAAACATGGATTGATAGATTATTTAAAAGCATGAAATGACTCAGCTGTTGAAAAACAACTTTTTCAATCATTTTGCATAAAAATGGGAGGTTTGATATTGGCCTATAATTATTCATTACGGATGCGTCTAGATTATGCTTTTTTAAGACTGGTTTAATTACTGCAGTTTTCAGGGCCTGTGGAAATACACCCGAGTGGAGAGGCTTGTTTACTATGTGAAGTAGATCTGAGGCATTGCAATGAAAAATGAAGAAGAGCCTTCTTCTTCTCTAATCAACAGATAGAAAATAAATAAATAAAATACATACGAAATACCACGAATTCATACACACAATACAGGCTTGTATTGTGTGCCCGGAACCTTTATTCGTGGACTTGTTTCTAGGGGGAATCATTTTGGAAGCAGGAGCGTCAACTGCCAAAACAACCAAAGTTAACGTCCAGTATACTGAGGTTTTCGCGTCGCATGGAGTCTTACATTTTTAAACTTGACGTGGAACAGTTTTATAATTAAACATACTGTTAGTATAGATGCAAATAAATAAGCATAAGGCTGTCGGTTAGCGGGTACAAGGTGACTTGTCGGTAGCGTCCATCGGTATCAAGGACATTGACAGCTTGGAACAATTGTTCGATATGATATTAAAGAAGCTAAGTAAAATAACATAACAAAGTAACGTGGACGTCCTACGATAGACATTCATACATCAAGATGAGGAAGTCCAGCCCTCTCGGACAATAGGTGTTGGCATCATCCGTAGTTTCAAAAGACCTGACTGCTGTTTGCTTATACGTGGAGTGTTTATTTACCAGTAAGGACGATGGTTTTACTTTATGTTAATATCTTAAGGAGCAGTCGTTTCTGTTCTCTGTCTGCACATCTGACAAGAAACTACAAACAAGCTGGACTTCATGTGAAGAAGGCACCCTTCTCTTCTCAGATCAGCTGTTATAGAACAACAAACTCTGTTCACCTCAGATCCCCTCAGACAGCACCGCATCTCTTACTCTGTAGCAATGGGAGGAGAGCGTGTTTCCAGATTACTCCCAGCCCCACCTCACCCCTGCTCTCAGGACCCCACTTCCACACCTCTGCCCCTGTGAGGGCCCTGCCTGCTCCTCTGCTGTGGCTGCTGCTCAAACCTCTACAGAAGATCGCAGCTGTAATCCTGGGCAGGTAGGAGACACTCTGGAGCTGGTTATATACATTTAAATTAAGACGTGTTCATTGCTCTGAGCCACACTCTAGTTTTATTATATGTAATGTATAATGTGTTTATGTATAATGAACTGTTTTACCAACAGTTGTATCAATAGATTATTTAAATAACAAATCAATTACTCTAGAATGTGTTGTGCATATGTTGGGACTTTTTAGTCTTTTGCAATTTTACTTTCTATACCCCCCTGGTTTTAATTTGTTTACTTTACCTTTACTGCTTTCAAACTAATACTTGGAGTCATTTATGTTTACTGATGGCATGTCATTATTGTTTGGCTATCTTTTTTTCTTGCAGTATTATTTTGGACACTTGGTCGCTTCCATAAGATGTAAAGGGTTACATATAGAGTTGGGGGCCTTTGAAGCAGGAATAGAAGGCACATGTATAGGCATACAGCACATACAGTTTTCAGCAGACCACAGAAACGCACTACAACTTGCAGATTGGGAGTATCTGTACGGTCCATGTTGTAACTGCCTCAAGTAACAACTAAACAGCAAATATTGCAGTGACTAGTTATGGAATTTGGTCTGGAATGGAAAGAAGGTTTTTGAAAGATTGCCTGAAAAAAGAGTGCCTTCTTCTTCTCTAATCAACACTGAAGTGGCCTGACTATAATAGTTTCATTTGGCACACATAAAAAAACACTATCAGCAAAGCATCATTCATTTCTTTGGTTTTATTTTGGGTCAGAGATCTGAATTTGGACACATCATCATGGAACTCCCCGCAATACAGAGAGTTGCTTTGTTTAGTAACTATTCCAAAAAGTCCTGGCCTACTTGTCTACTTAAATATTTTACGGCTTCCTCTGGAAAGGCGCACAAAATGATGTCAACATTTTATGTTGTCAACATATATTATGCATGTTTTGAAGCTACTTTGAGATATCAGTGTTTCTTATCTGCTTAATTCCAAACATTTAAATTCTTCAGAAATGACAGGACCTAAAATGATCCTTTTAGTTGAATTGTTTACCACTTTTGGGCAGTATATGATTTTAAAGACTGTCAGCTACATAAACAGTTTTCACCTCTGTGTAGGAGTATCAGGAAGTGGTGGGTGGCTCTACCACCAAACCGCCGGCAGCTCATGCGCGAATGGGTTCGTCATCGCCGCTGGCATCTGATATCTGGAGCAGGCGTTGCTATGGTGATTTTAGCCCTCCTTCTCCTTACCCACCTGAACGAGTCCCCGGTGACGGGTCGGACCCGCCTCCTGGTGTTCAGCCGAGAGAAATACATGGAGCTGGCAGCTCTGACTTCAGAGGCGGTGAGAGAATGAGGGAGGGGGATAACATATGTGTGATTAGCACGGTGATTATGTCCCAACCTTTACTGTCAAACAAACCCCCACAGCCCTTTTAAATGAGCTCAAGTACCCCTTCATCACCTCTACCGGTCAACTTCACCTGTCATATTAATCATTATACATTACTGTTTTATTCAATTATACTGTCTTTGTGGGCCTCTGTATAGCTCACAGGTTAGAGCTGGTTCCCCATGAACTGAGGGTCAGGTCACTCTCCAATAAAGGCTAAACTTGCCCAAAAATCTTAAAAATAATAAATTGCTTCCAATGTTAAAAACATGGAAGTTTCAACTATTTAATTATTTTAGCAAATATGTTAATCATACTTTTAGTAATTATAAGCTTTAATAATTGCGTTTAGCTATTACAACCATCTAGCTGTTACTTTTAGCTACATGTTTCAATTTCTCTGCTCGCTTGCTAAAAGTTTTGTGTGTGTGTGTGCGTTGCGTGTGTTTTCGTGCTTGCTTTAGTACATGGAGGAGTTTGCAGAGCTGTTGGTTCCTGTCACTGACCCCCGTCACCAGGTGGTGGAGCGGCTGGTGCAGCATCTGGCAGAAAGAAACAAGGACATCCCTGAAGTGTCTGATGTCTCCTGGAGTGTCCATGTGGTGCAGAGTCCTAACGTCAACGCCTTCGTCCTCCCGGTCAGTAAGAGAGAGACAGCTGTGGAATTACAGATTTCTATGTCTTTGTGTCATATTATCATTACCAACCTCCATTAAGGTCATTGGTAAGTTCTTTTTTTGTACATCTGTAGAGAATTTAATCACAAAATGACTTGGATTGTTCTTTCCTTTATGTAGGACGGGAAAGTGTTCATGTTTACGGGGATGCTGGAGACTGTGGCTGACGTTCACCAGCTCACCGTTGTCCTGGGACATGAGATGGCTCATGCTGTTTTGGGGCACTCTGTAAGTAAACAACCCTCTACAGACTGCATGTGATTGTGGCATAGATTTTTTTAAGGGTGGGTCATTTTGGTCTTAGTCAACTTCGATTTATTTAGTTGATTAGTACATTTTTGTCATACTCTGTAAAGCACTTTGGGCTGCGTCAAGCATGAAAGGTGCTATATAAATAAAGTGTATTATTATTCTTTAAAACACTTTTTCTCGTGCTGAATAACATGTTGTCAAGAAAGGACCATGTCTCTGGTAAACACAAGTCTTTAAGTCCAGCATTTGCGTGATTATCTGATGAGAAACTCAGTTCTACAGATTTGTCGAATACATCTACTTAGCCATTAGTCGAAAAAAGTACTCATAGAATTTGAATTTCGTTATAAGTGCGTCTCAGCCATAGACAGGAAATCATACCATATTTTATTAATTTATCTATAACGAATTTTCTCATTATGATCTTTCACTCATTCAATGCATGCTGCAGATGTATGAGGGAGCCAAACCATTGAAATGGCACACAAAGACACAGCACTACTGAGATTGATGCAGAAACATGGAAACCTTTAGTGCTGTGTACAAGAACATTACATTACATTACATTTAGCTGACGCTTTTATCCAAAGCGACTTACAATTACCAATCACAGGGACATTCTCCCTGGAGTAACTAAGGACCAAGGGCACACTAGTGGTGGTGTTCCTGGCGGGATTTGAACTCACAACCTTCCGATCTTCAGCCCACCTCACTATCCATTGGACCACCACTATCCCTATATCATATCTGCAGTGTGAAGTAGTCTGACATTGAGAGGTGTAGTTGATAGCATCAGACCTTGCTGTGCATAACAATGAGTAATTGAAAAAACGTGGTGCAAATACTGTTCAAGAACCAAGTGATTTAAAAGCCCTTTGTAAACAGAGTAGATGCTACAGCTGGAAGCCTTTTGTTGCATCAGCCGGTGATAAAGACTCCCTGACAATCACCCCCAAATGCTTACTAATCCTCTCTGCGCCATGACGACCAAAGTCCTGTGGACCCAGGGCATTGTGGGGCTTTATTAATTCTCCACAGACTACTGTTTTTTACTCTGGCTACCAAAGCCCATTCGTCTTGTTCTGAAAAAATGTCTAATGAAGTTGTGGGTATTGCAAGACTTTAAACGTCCTCTGAGGAAATGCTTGAAGGAGATTTTAATTAGATGAAGGGAATGAGCATCGATGGGCTGGGTATTACCCAGTAGATGTGCTCTATTGGATTGGCTGTTAAAACCTCTAAATCTGTAACAACGTAAAAGTTCCAGTGAAATAGATGAGAACAATCAATATGTTCCAGCTGCCTTGTTCACCTCTCAAAAACTTTTACCTTTTAGTTTTTCCTCCCTATCCTATTCTCTTCTCTTTGTTACCCCAATCCTCACTTGCTACATTCCTGTCATGTCCCCCTGTCATCCCCCTCCCCTCTGCCCCCCTCCCCTCTGCCCCCCTCCCCTAGGCAGAACAGGCCAGTCTGTCTCATGTCGTGGACCTGCTGTCTTTTATACTGCTGACAGCCATCTGGGCCGTGTGTCCTCGAGACAGCCTGGCTGTGCTGGGACACTGGGTACAGGAGAAGCTCTCCCAGGTGAGACCTAGTCCGTTTTTATTAATAATGTTGAAAAACAGCAACACTTTCACCTGAACATTAGAGCCCTGAAATAGGTTTCGATAAGGAAAAGAAGTTGGAACACCCTCATACATACATGATTTGTCTCTCCCTCAGTTGATGTTCAGCCGTCCCTACAGTAGGAAACTGGAGGCTGAGGCCGATCAAGTCGGATTACAGTTGGCTGCGAAGGTATGAATCATCTACGATGTGTTACTGATAGAAGTACACTTCACAGATTTTGCCCAACATGTTTAGTTCATAAACAGTGTTCCACAGCCATAGAAAACTGTGAATGTGTGATGTAAAGTGTGTAGTTTCTAGGGCTGTCCCGAATACAATTTTTCGGGCTCCGGATATTCGGTAGTAATCAGCAGCGAATATTCGAATATTCGGTGCGGAGAGATTTTTTGTTTTTTTTAATAAACATTTTTTTTTTCAGAAATGTTTCATAACACGCTCCGAGACACCTGACAACACGCTGTTAAGCAGAAGCGCAGAAAGAGCATACTATTACGATTTATATTTATTTATTGTCTCAGTACTCGCATACATTAAAACTAAATGTGTCCTCTGCATTTAACCCAGCCGCAGTGCAGCGCCCGGGGACCAAATCTGGTTCCAAATTCCGTCTATAACGTTTTACAACCTGAAGATACAAAATACATATTTCTGTTATAACAACAATACTTTTAATAACATAGCCGTAACAGTAGGCCTAACAGGGTAATACTTGTTACCGATACAGTAAACAGTATTTAAATAAATGAAGAACGAAAAATAAATGTTTGTTTGTTTGTAGCCTTTATTTAACCAGGTGAAGCCCCTTGAGATCAAAAGATCTCTTTTTCAAGGGTGACCTGCAGGACATTAGTTACACATGTAACATAAAAACAACAGAACAACAATAAGGATGACAAACAACATAATGTGCAGGGTACAGTTTACAAACTCTATTTACAGAGACAGGTACCATGAGTCTCAAACAGCATGTCACCCAGCTGAGTTTTAAAATGATGCAGGGGAACCAAAGTGCTCAGTTTTAAACATGTTTGCAGACTGTTCCAATTTAGTGGAGCTGCACAACTAAAAGCTTTCTTCCCTAAGACAGTCCTAGCACTTGGCACATTTAATAAAACAACATCATGAGATCTCAGGCAATATGTACTTTCAATTCGTCGAGAGATCAGAGAGCAGATATAAAAAGGTAGTTTACCCAACATGGCTTTGTAAATGAACATGTACCAATGACTGAGCCTCCGTACAGTTAGTGAAGGCAGACCTGCCTTGGCATACAGGGTACAGTGATGAGTAAGTGCTTTATAGTTAGTAACAAATCTCAGGGCACTGTGATAGGCGGCATCTAACTTTTCCAGGCAATGGGCAGGTGCATTCATATAGATCAAATCACCATAGTCCAGCACAGGTAAAAAGGTCACAGTGACTAGCCTTTTCCTGTCTTCAAATGAGAAACAGGACTTGTTTCTGAAAAAGAAACCTAGTCTAACCCTCAGCTTTTTAAGCAGGTTATTGACATGAAGTTTAAAAGTAAGACAATCATCAAGCCAGATACCTAGGTATTTATAACTGGTAACCACTTCAAGTACTTGTCCTTGCATAGTAACAATATCCAAAACAGGCTCTGGTATCTTTTTAGCTTTAGAAAAGAGCATTACCTTGGTTTTTTCAACATTTAAAAGAAGCTTAAGCTCAGTGAGCTGAGTCTGAATAATGTTAAAAACAGCCTGTAATTTAACACCAGCCTCCTTAATGGAGGGACCTGCACAGTACATCACGGTATCATCCGCATAAAAATGTAAAGTAGCTTCATCCACATTTTCACCTAAACTGTTGATATATATGGAGAATAAAAGTGGACCTAAAACAGAACCTTGAGGAACACCATTAGCAATGTTTAACCACTCAGAAGACAGCCCATCAAAGTGAACACATTGGGACCTTTCAGAGAGGTAGTTCACAAACCAATCCACTGCATGGCTGGATATGCCAATACTGAGTAGCCTCTGCTTTAAAATGCGATGATCAACAGTGTCAAACGCTTTGGAAAGGTCAATAAACAGAGCTGCACAACTCTGCTTATTATCCAAAATACTAGTAATGTCATTCACCACTTTCATTGTCGCAGTGATGGTGCTGTATCTCTTTCTGAATCCTGACTGATGTTTAGACAGGATATCATTTATACATAAAAACTCCTTTACTTGGTCACTCACAAGTCGTTCGAGCACCTTAGCCAGAACTGACAATTTGGAGATTGGCCTAAAGTTATTTAAAATAGTTGCCTCCCCTCCTTTTAGTAAAGGCAAGACATAAGTAAATAAATGAACGAACTGTATGCCAATAATTGCCTTAGCCCCAGATGTTCCCACATTGCTGCTATTATTTTCACTATTCGGATAACATTGAAAAACTAATATAAAAAAACAATTCGGTTGCTTGCTTGCAACTATTTTCCAAGCAAAGCAAGTGCACGATTTTATCATGTGTAACGTTACTGTTTAAACGGCGGATAAAGCAGCTTCATCATGGCAACTTGACAACAGCTAAGCTAAGCTAGGCTAGTACTTACAGCAGCCAGTTTCTTGTCGCATATTTGGCACACTGCCTTCTTCTTACCGTCGTCCAATTTAAAATGGTCCCACACAGCTGAAGTCTTCGGCATTTTGTGTTCAGGTGTGTGAAACGAGGTGAAGCGTGCCGTTTGCGTTCGTGACTGTGAGTGAACGCGATGTCAGGAGCACAGGCTGAGATTGTATATATTTCCGCATTTTAACAGTGCAATTCAAAAGTATAAATATAGTATAAGAATATGGCAATTCGCCTTTATTGATAGCATACATTTAGGGGAAAAAACAAAAAAAATTGAACAAAAAACGAATATCCGAATAATGAAATTAAAACCCGAATAGTTGGCCAACGAACGAATATTCGAATAGTCGAATATTCGGGTACATCCCTAAAAACAGAATGAAACTACTAGTTTCATTCTGTTTTCTGTCTGAATCCCCTCTTTTTTGGCCCCTTTGAGTCGATTTGAGCGATTTTAGTCATTTTAACTCTGGTTCTGGGACAGTTTACATTCTTGTGTTTTAAGTATGTTTTTAGATTGATTTCAGTCTGGTCTGCTTTTTTGTCAGTAGCTGTTGCTGTCAATCCTTGTAATCGGTCTACTGGCCACTAGGGGGCAATGTTGTCAAACTAAACCAAACTCAGATGATTGGTTGGTAAGGGTTTTCATCTCAGTACTACACAGTAATGCCAGTGTGTGTGTGTGTTTTTCCTGTCTCCTCCCCAGGCGTGTGCAGATGTGCGAGCAGGACCCGTATTCTGGCAGCAAATGGAAATCAGGGACCAGCTGACAGGAGAGACCACCGTGCCCGAGTGGATGTCCACACACCCCTCTCACAGGAACAGAGTCACTCAGCTGGACCGCCTCGTACCACAGGTACAGACACACACAGTACTGATTCCTGGATCAGTTCAAAGAACAGCATGGGACGTTTCTTTCAAAACTAAACTACATAAGTAAACACATTCCTGCTGCTCTAAACCATGTGTTTGTCTAATGTAAAAGTCTCTTTGATCCGTGTTTTAGGACAGAGCCCGACACCTGTCTTTTGTTTAGGAGAAACGGTGCAGCTTTAGGAGCTGTTGCAAGGAGTCTTAATGGAACTAATGAAGCATCTGGAGAGATGTATAACCACCGGCAGACATGTGGCGAGGAGGGCAGGCAGAGAGAAGGAAGGGACTCAGGAAGGAGAGGAAAAGATGCAAGGTTTTAGGAAGACAGGAAAAAACATTTTGCCACACAGGGGCAGGGATGCCTGATTAGTTAAATGTCTGTGAGGCTTCGAGTTCAGGAACTGAAAGAAAGCAGCCCCTCGGAAGCAGCTCGATCTCACACACTGTGCAGGCACTGTGGCAAGACAATCAATGGTGTCCTAAGGCTAGAAGGAAATCAACAAGCAGTTAAGGCAGCAACTTGTATGGAGAGCGCCAGCATCCACAATCATTACGTTTCACGTTTCACCGAGTTAGTGTGTGTGTCTGAGGCAGAGAGAGAGAAAGATAAGGACAGATTAACAGTGTATTAGGCACAGGTTAGGAATATTTAACCTTGAGTGTGAGTAGGACTGTTGGTACACTGTCAAATGCTCCAAGCATGAAAGATGAACAGATGGGTAAATCACTAATTGTCCATCAGGTGCCAGTATTGTGTGTGTGTGTGTGTGTGGTGTGTGTGTGTGTGTGTGTGTGTGGTGTGTGTGTGTGTGGTGTGTGTGTGTGTGTGTGTGTGTGTGTGTGTGTGTGTGTGTGTGTGTGTGTGTGTGGTGTGTGTGTGTGTGTGTGTGTGTGTGTGTGTGTGTGTGTGTGTGTGTGTGTGTGTGTGTGTGTGTGTGTGTGTGTGTGTGTGTGTGTGTGTGTGTGTGTGTGTGTGTGTGTGTGTGTGTGTGTGTGTGTGTGTGTGTGTGTTATATGTGTGTTATTTGTTTGCATCATATAATATCCCTGTGTGTTAGATTGACCTCTAGCAACAGTCTCTGTCGAGGCCAGTCTGCAGCCACAGGCAGTGAAGTGAGGAAGACTATTGTTTGGGGATTCATTGGCCTCCAGTGTGTGTGTGTGTGTGCGTGTGTGTTCTGTGAGGAAACTCTCCGGTTTATACCCTCCTCACACCCATCATTTCGATCCAGCATGGCAGCACATATGAGCCAGTTAACAGTGGAGCTCATTCGGCTGAAAGTGGTGCATAATGTGATGTTTTCAACCTTGCGAGAGGTGACAGCATCAAGCTACTTAACCCGACTCCTCTGAGGGCACTCTGCCTCCACTAGTGCGCTCATCATCCTTGAGCAAAGCGCATTAAGTTGCCTGGTAGCATGAGAGGGAGAGCCTGTTGAGTGGGAAGCCAAGTGCACGTATATATGAGTCTTGTAGGTGATTTAAGTGAGAGATTAATGAGTTTCGTGTGTGTGTGAGACGGACAAAGAGAATGTCTCTAACTGCTGGGAAGTGCTAGGTTTGTTCCTTCCAGCACTGCTTATCCAACCTGTACCTGTTTGAAGAATAAAGATTGAATCTTTAGCCATATAGCCATGCTAGCAGTTTGCCTCTTGGGATAGCAATATCAATCTGTTGGTTCACCATTTTGGCCAGACTGGAAGGATTTAAATGAATAGTTATTTTCCTCTAGTGCCATCATAAGGTTTGAGAGTTCAGTTTGCCCAATAGATTGATCTGACAATATACCTGCACAACTAATGACATTCCCATCCTCCTTAGCTGTAGTTTATGTTAATTGCAAACTAGCAAATGATAGCCAGGCAACATGTAAACTAAGATGTGTTAGCATTTAGCCCAGGGTACAGCAGTGCTTTATAACGGCCTCACGGAGCTGCTACAGTGGAACGGATATTCTTTAGTTTTATCACGGTTTATTTGTTGTGTTTGTTTGTCTTTCCTTCATTTCAGTTCACAGCCGCTCTTTGATGAAATATCTCCCTATCACAAATGTAAAAGAAGAAGTTACTGATTCCTTGTTCTACTACACTTCAAACAAAAACAACAAATGACTCAACACAACCCAAACAAACACATTAATCATAGACCTGTCATATCCATCTTTGTACTTGTTGTTAATGAACTTCTTGTCTGAAGTTATGACAAGTCAGTACATACAGAGTACAGAGCATGGTTTAATACTTTGTCTTCCCTCTGTCTCTGTCCAGGCTCTGGAGCTGAGGGAGAGCTGCGTCTGCCCTGCTCTACCTGCTATAGACCCTCGCGTCGTCTTCACCAAAAGTGTCCGTGTGATGCTGGAGGCCGCTAAGAACCAGGGGAGAGGAGGGCCAGAAGGGGCACGCAAGCCCCCCCTGCCCCGCAGCCCAGCCTCACTCCTCACTGGACTGCCTGCTGCTCTACTTGCCCAAAATGACCTCTATCCTTCCCCAAATTTAGATCGAGAAATGAAAGGCCAAGTCTCATTCATAGCATCAGAGTCAGCGGTAACAGCCTCTGTCCCCGCTCCTTCTGAGGGAGAAGGATCCCAGTCTATGGGGCAGAGCACCAGCTGACAGGGGTGTTAAATAGTCCCACAATTGTAGTTGTCAAAGACTTTTTGAATGTGTGAATGAGTGAGTGATTGGTTGGTTTGTATATTGGTGAGCTAGCATAATCATCTTAATAATGGTCTATTCAATTTCATTGACCTTGTTTTCATAAGTGTTAAACGGGGTAAAGCTTCCACCTTTGATCAGGGGAACCCAAGGTTTGTCTTTTTCTCGGCACTAAAGACTCCTATATTTTGCTAGAACTATGGAGGCTGGACGTGGGTTTGGATCTGGGTAAAGAAGTAGCTTTGGAGAAGAAATGGTGGAAAAACCCGTAAAATATAAAACATTATATTAAAAGAGTTCAAGCCCCCTCCGAACTCTATTGCAACACCCTGCTGACTGTGCTTTAAAGCATTGTATTCATAACTAGTGACTACAAAGAGGCCACATTAATTAGATGACCTCTCAATGCAGAATGAATCTTAGTAAAGCTCCCATACATTGCCAGATTAATATGTGCATTATTCATTGACACATGGCAACAGATGAGAGTAAGCACTTTGTGTGCATGTCGGAGGCTCCGTCCATGGCAGGCAGAGGACATCTACATTCTAATTATGACTGCTGCATTATCATGCCACACACACACACACGGCACTTTATGTATTCTCTACCCTGAGGGACTTAATGGTGTAAATGTATGCCGTGTTGTTTGCAGGTTTTAAAACATAGCCTTTTGCACAGGAATGCCAATATCTAGCGTCAAGCTTTGTGAAATCTTTCATGGGATTTTGTAAATTCCTATTTAACAAGTCAGGTTGACTGAGAAAACATCCTTATTTACAACAACAGCCTGCGGGAGCAGTTGCACAATGAAGAGGGGAGAACAGTAATGGTTCATATCTCTGTACAGGAACAAAGTAGCACACTGTGTTAAACTGTGAAATCAAAAGTACTGCTGTGTTTTCATATGGGATATGTTGTAATATTTGTGCCATGCATTTTAGGTTTAGGGTCTGTATCAGCTTACAAACCAAAAGGGAGCACTTCAGTTGTGTGCTGTGGAAGCTTTGTCTAACTGCATCAGGGTTGGTCGATAATAAAGGCTGTGTCTATATTAGAATAAGTGGTCAGTGATAGGGTTTACACAAAAATGTGAAATGAAATGCCACAGGGACGTGCTCTGTTTGCAAGTGGCAGACAAACAATAAAAACTTGAAAAAATGCTTTTTGGTGGGGTTTTTTCACTGCAAGATCCTGTGAAACTCAAGCTCAAATATGTTAATGTTTGAGCAGCAATAAATAAGGATCATGGCAACACAATGTAAAATGTACTGTGTATGTTTGAATGTGCGATAGTTAGAGGAAATAATCAGCCTGTGTCATTGCATAAAACTTTGCAACAGGGTTTAAAGTTCCCTTATAATTGTTTCAGTGTTTGTATGAATGTGATGATGTTGTAGCAACTGTAGCAGAAGTTTCTCGTTGATGCCAGACTCCCGGGGAAAGTCCTTGCTGGCCTCTCTCAGCTGATCAGAGAAACATAGTTTGTAAATCTCACACACAACATTACACAGTCGTATTCAAATCAAAGCTACGAGCATTTCATTCAGTCAGATTCAGTGCAGTAGTCTTATAATGCCTGCCAAATGTTACAAGTTCTTGCTTCTTGAATACAAGATCAATCCTGTGACATCTCAGTTTTAAAGACCATTGCAACATCGAAAGTTCCCTCCTGAGCAAATATATCATGCTTTAGAACATGAGCATTAACTAAAGTTAACCTGACTTACTGTGTTGCGCTTCATGCTCACACTAATTTCACTTCAAGGATTTTTTTGGATCCAAAGCTTTTATACATTTTAATGGAGACTTTCCATTTCCTGGTCACATTGTCGTGTGTACGCTGAAGCATCTGGATGCAGCTCCCTCAGCACTCAGACAGAAATTGGAACATGAGCAGGCAACAGATGACACATTCACACCCAGAGGTAATTGTAATGAGCGTGATACAACACATACACACACACACACACACACACACACACTGCTCTGAGTAATTGTAGCCTACTGCTGGAGTCTAAACAATACTGCGACAGAGGGCTTAATCAAGGAAAACAAAGACACAGCAGTCAGAGGGATTGAAAGGACTGAAATAGAAAGTAGACAAAGTGGAACCATGGGGATTGAGAAAAGAAAATATTTATTTCAGGTGGGTGAAAGAGCATTTTATGTTATCTACATCAAAATTAAGCAGCTGATTTTCTTACATATTTTAAGTCAAATGCTGGATAAGAAAGTCCTACTTATATGTATTTCTCTGTGTCTACATGTAGCCTTAGGCAGATAAGATCTGTTCCACGGAGTGAGAGAGAAATCATCGGTCTACTTTATGTCTCTATATTCACCTCGAGTCTCAGATTGTATTGTGTTTGTATATTTGTACGCCCACTAGAGACACCATACTGCTTCTGAGACCTCTGACAAACTGCTTGCAGGTATTTCAAGGTATTGATAAGCAGAGAAGCATTGAAAAGTAGAAGAAGTACAAAAGGTAGCACACCCACAAAAGAGAATGCTGAATGCACGACAGACGGCAAACTCAAAATGCTGTTTCCAAACAAAAACACTCCCAGAGAGAGTCAGGACTGTGAGAGAGCAACCCAACACATCTGCTGTGTAGGTGGCTGAATGATGTCCCACAATGCAGTCTGGCTGCCCTCTGACCTCCCTGTGGAGTGTTGCTCCAAGTGGCTCATCCACAGTTCCATTTCTAAGATCCACCCCGGCACACAACGCGCGCACACACACACACACACACACACACACACACACACACACACACACACACACACACACACACACACACACACACACACGAAGCAGCTGGCTGCTGAGTGTAGAGGGAATATGGTGATGGGAAAATGTGTGTGTGTTAGTGTGCTGTTGTGGTAAAAGTTTCTGTGTCCTTCCGCTGTGCATTCATTATACATGTGGCATGTGGGTGTCTGATTGAAATGAATATTTTACTGCTTTTAATCACTGCCATTGCCAGAGTGATGGAGCATCTGGCTGTGTTACCTGGGTAATTAAAGATGCTGTCTCACACATGCACACATGCAAGTCTCAGAGGCTGTGTCTGCAGTATGAGACGGAAGTACTCCAGAGCCTTACTAATGAGTACAATTAGATTTGCAATGTTTTGAAGCAATGGGGCCCATAGAAATAAATAAAATATGCCTTTGTCTAACTTTGATTAGCAAAACGCTTTTCAAACAGGTCAGGGTTCTAAGAAGAAACAATCTTTGTTGATGTGGCATGAGTGTCGGGCAGAGGTAGCCTTAACGGCAGTTCAATCTTACAGGATAATATTTTGTTGTGTCCTCATTTAGAACCATCAGTCTAAATGTAAATTGTAAACTTTATTTTATTTTGTACAACTGGGGAATGGCAGCAAGAACGAACCATCCTACATTTAATTTTTTGCGTCCATCTCTTTCTACATGAGCAATTGTGTATTGAGTTTGAATTTTTCACTTGTTATGCACTGAGAAGATTTACCCTAACTGAGCAAACCTGCCACCAGAATGTTATTTTTAGCAAATAGGGCAAAACGGTGGTGCGCAAGAGTTGTTTTTATCTGGTGCAGTCTACACTTTGAGCCGATAACACTGAGCTGAGTGTTTCTTTCCCATAAAAAAATCGAATCTAATGCAACTTTTTTGTAAGCTAATGTGTTAATGTGTGAGCAATGTTTACATTGGTTATAAAGTAAAGCTTTTTCTAGCTAATGACTCACCCTTCACTCAAAGGTAACATAAATGAAAATAGATCTCCACTTCTAGTTCGTTCTAGTTAAAATTACCCATGAAACCAATATTTTGTCAGTGTTTTTTTTTTTGGTGTGTTATCGCAGTGAAGGAACTGTCTGGCATGGGGTCATTGAGGCTATCTGGGTATTCTCTTTCAACACACAATACAGGTCCTCCTCTAATGGCTCCTCATGTCTTCCCCGTCTGTATTATCTTCTCTATCTGAGGTTGTGTGTATGTGCGTGTGTGTGTGTGTGTGTTCATGGTTGAACTGGTAGAGGTTTTTATAGTCTGGCTGCTCTGATGCTATTAGAGATTAGGATGTTAACACAGTCCCTCATCTGACTGCATCGATCCCAACCCTGGCAGTGGAATCACATTAATACTAACAATGTCAGGTACAAGCTTTGTAACTCCCTTTACCCCTCTCTCTCTCTTTTTACATCTGCTTCTCTGTCAGTGTTGATTTGAATTTGAATAACCAGCGTTCTTCCCCGTCTTTCAACAAGTAGATGGTGCAATCTAATGAAGGGAAAGAGGGAAGGAAGATTGCCGAAGCAGAAGGGGACTAGAGGATGTGGAAATGAGATGAGATGAAATGGTTTGAATCAGTCTCCCTCAACTGCTTTGACACCAGTAGCTTTCAGTGTTTGAGCACAAACAAATCAAGTTACAATTTAGGGTAAGCAAATCAAGAGATAGTGAACAAGTTCGAATTACGGGCCTATGAAAAAAATGAACAGTATGCAACATTACGGTTTACCTGAGGACGGATAGTGGCAATGTCAGATTGATGATAGTTGGGTTCAGAAGTCTAGATTTTGTACCTTTTTAGAGCATTTGATTGTCCACAAATTCAATTACTTGAGAAATGTGTGTTCTACTGGCGTAAATAATACAAAAAACAATGTGCCTTATTTGTACCTTTCTCAGTTCAGCTGACCATGATATTTTGTTCTCAAATTCACACCAACACACTGTCAGTGTCAGCTAAATTCAACAAACTGTGACAGATCTGGTTGTACATTCAGACCAAAAGTGCTATCACATTTTTTTTAACAGCTGTCAACACTGTTATTATCCACACTTCTTAATTAACGTAGGCAACGTTTGATTTCCTTCAGTTATTTACTGTTTCACTCAAAAATAGAGCCGCTAATTCTGACATGTTAGGATTTGAAGACTCATACCAACTCATAATAACACCAAATTTGAAACTATAAAAGAAGTTCTTGCAAATTATGAAATGTGTTTGAATTCATAGCATACACCAGTATTAGTTTATGTTTACTGCCACTAAATACATGTGTTTGTGGATGCTGTAAACCGAATGTCATAGTTCAGGCAGGCTTATCAAAAGCCCTGCACTTTTAAAACAGGTGTTAGGCAGAGCTATCCCGGGCAACATAAATTACCCAAGGAAGATGGGGGTCTTTTCATGGTTAATCATATGCATATTATGAACATCTATTCAAAGAAATGCTACCTATAATTTGCAGGCGTAATTTCGATGCGAAAAGTATACGTATAAGGATAAGGGTACATACATTGTACCAAGCTAACAGGTGCAACAGGAGGGAAGGAAGTGTCAATCAAGTGGGAGGGTCTGTACACCCGCACAGTCGCGAGGGGATGTCTAATCAATGCACCTGTGTGAGATCAACATGCGCGTGTTGTGTCTACCGACAACTTTCTAATTCGCGAAATTGTTTTATCTGTACACTATTTTATCAAGTGACAAACACTATGGTTCAGTTAAATGCTGAAGGAGCTTCCGAGAACTGCACTTGAAAAACAATTGTCCATCTTAAACACAAGTGAGCAACAACTACCACGGATTTGAGAAGGTCGAAAATGGTAGGCCTACTTGGAGAGATAGCCACAGGTTAGTACTTTTAAAGACCATGCTTGGTGAGAACATACACCACATTATAAGGCCCTCGAAACACGTGAAAACATCCATGAAGTTAAATTGTATTCGTTTAAGGTCCTACAAACTGCATTCACCTAGCCTAATTTGCTACAAGTTAAAAATGATCATCAGGCTAAAACATGCTAGGTAATAGTTTATCAGATACACAAATGGTAACATGTGTAAAATTGAATCATGTTGCATGTTGTTTATGTAGCTTAAACATGCTTTAAGATATAGTTTATCAGACTTCAAAATGGTAAAAGTTAAATCATGGTGAAGGTTGTTTATTTTGCTAAAACATGCTACACATTTTTTTTCAGCCCAAACATGCTTCACTATATAGTTTTTCAGACTTAAAAGGGTACTATTGTTATATTAAATCATGTTAATTTTATTGAGCTAAAACATGGAACAAGATACTATAAATAAGGCTAAAAGTTGTTTAAGCTACTTCTACGTGGTGTTGTTTATGAAGCTAACATATCCTTCAAGATGTGGT